GATGAGTAACGGCCAGGGACTGACAGCAGTGACCTCTTCACCTACTGCTCTAACCAGGGGTCAGCATCTCCCCATTAAAGGCTGTGTAAAGGTTTCATTTGATTGTGCAAATTCACTCCCTCGTCAGCCCTAAAGGAGACTTACCAGCAAGTAAATACCAGCTCTGGAAAAGTTCCATTTCAAAAGTAATAACCTGGCAAGCCACAAGCCTGTAAAATGTCAGCCAATTTGCAAGGTAGGAGAAGACTTACACTTCCTTTTTTCTTTCCCTAAGTTTTCTTTCATGCATGTACAAGTGGACCTTTAAAAGTTGATGAAGTTACTGCAAGTCTGTGAGAATCATGTTGACCATCCTGTGCAATTAAGCTTTCTCATGAAAGGACCAAGCCCTATAGCCTGAATGCCTCAGAAGTGGCTGTAATGTTGTTTCACCCTGTATAACGGTATAGGATGGTGAGGAAAACCTCAGCTCTGTTTCTCAGGATGAGGCCAGCCAGCAGACAAACACGGAATGGCTGGACTGGCTTCCAGCTCCCAAACAGTACAAAACAAACACCACCAGCAGCAGAACCAAGTAATGCCCCAAAATGCACTCAAATCAGTGGCTGACAAACTCCTAAACATTGGGAATTCCTGTGTGGCTGCAGCTTAGTCCAGGACCTTAGTCCAGGTCCACTTTGATGGATCAAGGTATTCTGGAGGTGACAAACTATGCAGATGAAGCAGAGATGGAGTTTCACCGTTCCATCCACCCCAGTGAAACTCATCCAGGCCCTTGGGTGTTTATGTTGCGACAATTAAAGACATTGTGCCAAGATGTATCCCAGGAGAGTTTCTGGTACCCAAGACACGAAAGTTTCATCACATCTGCCAAGTTGATAGAGGAATTTCATGACTGCACACAGATAAAACGTGGAGTGAATGCACTGTTTCAATCCCACCGGGATCTTCAGGGCAGGTAGGTGGGATTTAAAATGCACAGAAGCTGGGTGCTAGTCTGCATGGGCAGGATGTGACGCTTCAGGAGCACGATTCATAGCTCTCAGTGCAGAGGGAAGGTTCTACCACATCCGGTACCACGTTTCCAGTAAATGCTTTCAGCAAGAGCCAGAAATGCATTCACTGTTTGCACTGTGGGTTTACGATCACTGTACCTTGGCAGCTGCAGCACTGATATCCCGACAAAACTCTCCACGTTAGAAGTCAGTTAAAGGCTATAGATCTCGAGAGAGAGACAAAAAGAGAGGTAAAATACTTAGGACAGATTTTTTCCAAACAGAAATTAAAAAATAACTTAAAAAAATAAATCTATTGTTTGAGGAATTAAAGCAATTCATGTTAAGTTGCTGTCTTATTACACATCCTGCTATGGCTCAGAATGAGAGTCTGAAAAGGCAGATTAGCACAAGATTAGCAGAGAAAGCTGTCTAGACTCAGCCGAACTCCAAGGGAGCCATTCACACTGACAAGAGGCAGCACCCCTTGCTCCCAAGTGTCCTCTGCCAGCATGGGTAGGTTTTTGGCATGGCAGATATCCCACAGAATCACAGACTTTGAGATCATTGAGTTCAATTGTTTCCCCAGCACTGCCACATCCACCACTAACCCATGTTCCCAAGTGCCATATCTATACATTTTTAAATCCCTCCAGGAGTGGTGACTCCACCACTGCCCTGGGCAGCCTGTGCCAGGGCTTGGCAACCCTTTCAGGGAGGAAATTTTTCCTAACACGAATCCAAAGCTCCCCTCCCATCACTGTTTCTTTCACTGGATCATACCATCTTGCTGCCCTGTCTGGCCAGGGTCAGTGGTGACCGATGGGCTGGGTGTATTGCTCTGCAAAAATCGACGGAAGTCCTTAATCATGGGGCGGAGGACCTGGATGAGGGCACTCAGCGCTGCCTGCGTCCCCTCCATGGCCTGTGCCTGCCGCTCCTGGGCACATGCCTGCACCTCCTGCGAGCGGCGAATCATCTGCAGCAAGTCATTCTGCTGCTCCAGGTGCTGGGCAATCTCCTTCACGTGCAGGTTGGTTACTCGCTGCTCCTGCAGGAGCTTGGCTGAGTTCAGGGCAATGCGGCTTTTCAGCTCCTGGGGCTTGGCGGACACCTCGTGTTGGTGGGCCATCATCTCCAAGGGCGCCTCCGCAGTGACGGTGGTGGGGGCTTCCGTGGTGCAGTACTCCACAACCCCGTCCTCCAGACTGTGGTAGGTTGTCTCTGCAGGAACTGAGAACAAAGGACAGAAAGGGAGTCAGGAGTAGCTGTGATACAGGATTTTTATCTACAGGACTATTCAGTGAATACCACAGGAATACGGCCTGTTCAGTGAGATAACATACAACGGCCAGCAATGCACAAAATGACCTATTTAAGTCTACTCCACCCTCACTCGAGCTTCCTTCTGGGCTGTACAATCCAAAGGAACAGGGAATGCCTTATCTGTCTAGACAATATAATTTCTCAATCTCCAGTTTAGAACAATCTTTCCAAACAGCATTAACTGACTGACACAACAGCAAAGACCCTGAATGGCCCCTGTTGGCAGAAGAGCTGCACCTTGGGAAACTGCACGCTGGAAAATCAGCCCTGAAGAAGTTTTTCCCTGTGCTTTTGTTCCCAGAGAGGGACTGAAGAATTTCCCAAGGTGCACAGGATCCTTGATTCCCTTATCCTCAAGGCTGAGTCCAGCTGTCAAAGCTGACTTTCAGTACCTTCATGTCCTGTGGCCACTCCTACACCACAAGGGCAGAGTGGGAGGAGCATTTCATGACAGAGATGTGGGGATTTCTTTCTGTTGGGGTTTCGAGATCTCCGCCCAAAGAACCCGTGGGCACCCTATCCCTGGAAATGTTCAAGGCCAGGCTGGATGCAGCAACCTGCTCTAGCAAAAGGTGTCTCTGCCCATGGCAGGGGGCTGGAACTGGGTGCTCTTTAAGGTCCTTTCCAACCGAAACCACTCTGTGGTTCTGTCCCCACACAAGCTCGGGGCGTCCTCGCAGGGGGGTGTCAGGGCCTTCGTTGGCCCTGCAGTGCAGCGCAGAGCGTTCCGGCGGGCGCAGCACTCACTCTGGGTCAGGGTGACCGTGGTGGCCGAGGCGGTGATGGGGATGTCGCTCCCGTCACCCACGCCGCAGTCGCCGCTCGGCAGGCTGATGATGGTGGCCTCTCCCAGCAGGTTGCAGATGCGCTGCTGCATGGGGGTGAGGATCACCGGGGCGGCCGCGCCGCCCGCCGGGTCCTCGCCCTCGGGCCCGTTGCCGCCGCCGTTCTGGCTCTCGCCTCCCCCTTCCATGGCAGCCCGCACTTGGGCCACTTTGCGCCGCACCTCGGTCTTGAGGTCGGACCACTTCTTCTTGACCTCGGGCAGCTCGCGGTGGCAGGTGGCGACGGCGTTGACGCGGCGCAGGATGTCGTGCCAGGCGGCGGCCTTGGCGGCCAGCGGCACGCCCGCGTTGAAGTGGTTGACGAGGAGGTGCTTGCCCCGCTCCAGCTCCTCCACGATGATCTCCACCTCCCGCTCCGAGAAGTTCATCTTCCGCTTCTTGGCTGGGGGCGCCGGCGGCGACGCCATGGCCATGGGGGGCAGCGGGGACGGGGCACGGGGTCACACCTGAGGGGGCCTGGGGGACGCTGGGGACGGCCGAGGGGCGGCAGGGCCCCCCCACCCCCGGGGCCGGGGACAACAGGGGGGCCCCGAGGCCCCTCAGGGCCCGGAGGGGTCGGTCCCCCCCGCTCCCCCTTTGGCACCGCCAACGATACGCAAATTGCGTACGGCGCCCGCCCGGCAGCCCCGCGCAACGGCCCCCGCCCTGCGGCACTGGCGTAATGGCTTCCAGAATCGGCCCCTCTTCCTGCCACGCCTGGTTGGCTCGCCCGCCTGTCCGTCACACGAGTTGCCCGCCTCCCGTCTGTATTACCGCAGTACTATTGGTCAACAGCCCTGTCCATCAGGCAGACAGGAGGCGGCCCCGCCCCGCCGCTGGTCTCAGGGCACTGGGCCTGCGTGGGGCCGGCGAGGGGTTGGGCCCGCCCGTGGATTTCCTCGCTCCGATCCCATTGGGTGCTGCTGCTGTCCATCACCCCAGAGCGCGCACTGCTTTCCAACCTACCGGGTGCGCGCGCCGTCCGTCCAGCTCAAACTGCCCGGCGGCTCCGGCTCTGATTGGCCGCGTTCTGCCCAGCACCGCCTTCCCGCGGGCTGCAGCCAATCGCGGCCCGGCCCGCGCGCCCGCCCCGCTCCCTGTGCATCACCCCAGACACCGCGGCGCTCCCTTCCCATTGGTGCGGACGGGGGCGTCCCCTCTGACGTCACGACCCGCCGCTCCGGGTGGGCGCCGCGGGGCGTGTCCCAGGGCGTGTCGCTCTCTGTGATTGGCCGGCGCGGGGCGTCACGTGGTGCTGGCGGCGCGTGGCGCGAAGGCGGAAGCGGCGCCATTTGCCGGTGCCGCGGGCGTGAGGGGCGGTCGGTGTTGGCGCGGCCATGCCGGGGGCGCGGCGCTCTCTCGCCTCCCCGGTGGTCAGCGGCGTTCTCTGCCCATGCGGGTCCCCGCACGGATCTGCGGTGGAGAGCGGCGGCGGCGGCGGCGGGGGGAACGCGGGGTCCTGCGGGCGGTCGGTCTGCGAGGCCTCCGATCAGGACCGGCGTCTCCGCACCTTGTTCCAGAAGCTCGACGTGAATCGCGACGGCGCGCTCTGCATCCACGATCTGGCCGTGGGGCTGGGCCGCCTCGGGCTGCACCGCACCGAGCTGGACCTGCGGGTGAGCGGCGGCGGGCGGTGGGATCCGGCCCGGCGGGGCGGAGCGGTCCCGCGGTCCGGGCTTGAGGGAGGGTTTGGCCGCTCCCCTCGTCCCGTGTCCGCTCCGGAGCCCTCTCCGTGCGCGTCTCGGGAGCGGGACGTGGACTCTGGAGACCTTCCAGCTGTGTCTCGCCGGGGCAGCGGTGGCACCATGGCAGCACCTGCGGGGCTGCGCTGCGACAAGGCTGCTCTGCTCCCCAAGGGTCCCTGCCTCAAAGCCACCCTGCTGGCTTCCACACTAGACCCGGAGCAATGAGCTTGCGTGCTGTCTGCAGGCATCTGCCGTGTTAACTGTCCGTAGTTAATAAGACTAAAACCTTAGTGTTTGGGCAGGAAAAACCATAAAGGAAATCGTGTTTCTCCAGGACTCAGGACAGGGCAGCTTGCACGCTGACTTACACTAGTGGAAGGTCCTTTGGAAGCAATTCCTGCAGTCAGGGTAGCTGTGCAGGTTTCATTCCATCACTGTGTTCCTCATATGAGTCTGGCAGTGTGTTGTTACTCATGTTTCCCAGGACAGCTTATGCCAAATTTGTTTATTTTATGGGTTTGCAAATACCTTAAAACGTAGGGAGGCTGCTGTACTGTACAGTTTGAACGTGGAGTGTGTTAAACATGCGGCTCTGGCTTTCTTTTTCTGGGAGCCTTTTGTACTCACACCGCTCGGTGATGCTGTACACGGATGGCTCCAAGGTTCAGTGTGATGCTGCTCTATTTAACTGTGATTAATGTAATTTACATGTCTATGTGGCTTGTCCTCAGTGCTGCACAGTATTCCCCTGCCTAGTCGCTTGTATTTTATGTGCAGGGCCATAAAAAAACTGAGCATCATGTGGAGATAGGAGATAAACACATGGGTGCAGCCAGGGATGTGCCACCACAGAGTGCCTGAGTCCTACAGGAAGGAAGAAGAGTTTAAGAATAACTTCTGAGTCACTGAAAAGATATTTAATTCAAGTGACAGCTCCTATTCTCTCCCTGTTCTGGGAGTGGTGCTCCACTTTGAGTGCTTTAATTGCACAGTCCTTTCCAGAGTGTCTAGTTCCTTTCTAACTTTGAATCTTAGCATCTTAACTTCTGACATTTCTTTTTGGTTGGCATCTTCCTAGCTGCTTTAAGATATGAGAATTCCTTGGCAGTGTGATCTTGTGAGTAGTTTAGTTATGCTGTTTCTAATAAAAACATGAGTGCCATGGGGGTTTTCTGCTGGGTGCATTTGGGTATGTCAGTCTGATTGTACCACAAGTTACCTGTGCTTGCCCTGTGACACTGACCTGCTGCCACCTCTGGGGCACAATTCTTGACCTCTGGCAAAAATCCCCCGTGACCCAGAATGTTCTGTGCTTACACCTGCATGCCTGCCTCCATTTGCATTCCTTCTTTTTGCATGCAGTGCAATCCAGCCTGACACTCTCTAGCCCAGGAGGAAGCAACTTAAAACAAACTGCGTTTTTACTTCCCAGCAGAGAGTTTCTTTGCTTGGCGCGCCGCGGGAGCGGCACAGAGGAACCGTTCTGCGGGGACTGGAGCTCGCTGCCGGAGGGAAGCGCTGGCTGGATGCTGCTTAACAATCCTGTCTTTCTGCTGAAGCCCCTGTCTGTCAGTATTGTTCCTCAGCCCTTTCCTTCCTCTGACTGCTCTTCCACATCAATAGTGTGAGGGGGGTGAAATGCTGGCATAGGGTGCCCAGAGAAGATGTGGCTGCTCCCCGTCCCTGGAAGTGTTCAAAGCCAGGCTGGAAGGGGCACTGAGCAACTTGATTTAGTGGCAGGGGGTTGGAAACGAGTGCTCTCTAAGATCCTTTCCCAACTCAAAATATTGTAGAATTTGCAAAGCATTGGTATGGTAGAGCATCCCCTTTAGCAGGGTAAAAACCACTGAGAGTGAGGATGCAGAGTTCAAAACTCTCAAGTTCCAGTTAAAAATGTGGGAACAGCCCTCAGCTGGCTAGCCAACTTCCGTGTCGAGCAATTTTTAGGGAAATCAAATAAACTTCCTGTTTCCAAGGCAGTTCTATTAATAAGTCAGTCCTTTTTCTGCTCCATCCTTAGCTAATTATGGCACCTCAATGCCTAACTAATGTGAGGTCACGCTCAAGGAAAGTGCTTAAGTGTCAAGATAGAAAACCTTTCTGATTTATTGAGCATGCTATTTGGGGACCAATTTAGGCATAAATCACATGGATTGCTTGTGATTAGTTAATTACTTGGTGCCTGTGGTGCACTTTATTTTTCCTTCCATGCAGCAGTACATTTGATATGGGAGTTGCCTTCTAATATTTGGGAGCAGATGGAGAAAACATTGGGCTTGTAAAGTGAGGTTATCACCAATCTTAGCTGCGAGCTGCTAATCTCCCTGCGTCAGTAGGCTAAAAGTCCTTGTGGTAACAATAACTTTTGGGCTGAACTTGAAAAGAAAATGAGCAATATTTTGGCTCCTTCAATGCCTGAGAGTGCTTGCTGAGATAAAACCCTTTGTGGCATTCTTGGAAAATTGCTGCTTTTTCTTTTAGAGGTGGCCTTCTGTGGTGGGGGAGAGAAGGGCTTGCACTCAGATGTCCTTTGAGGTGGAATTTGCTTATGTAAACGATGCTTGCTTTTTTTTTTTTT